TATTAATTTGTTTATTAACTTTTATTTAATTTGGCAAATCCCACTGAGATCACAGATCTCTATTGCAGAGGAGGTCTAGACCTGACGGCAGCCTAACCTGCAGGTTTTTGGACACAGGGAGGAGGGTATCATACTTGCTGCCGTATAAGTCGCATCAGTCCAAATACGTCTAATAAAGTGGAAAAAAACATAAATATGTTGCTTCGCCATATAAGTCACATCTATTATGCATCACCGCTGACAACCCGGAAATGTGGGCAAGTGTGCCAAAAATCGATTGGCTGCCAAATGGCGGCCGCAGAAACGTGCATGGGAGGACTTTAACAAGAATTTAACAACAGTAACACTTAAACACAATTATTTGTTTGCTCGAAATTATAGTAAAGGTGTGTCTGAGTTGAACTGTTCCTAAATTAATGCACTTTGACGGTCGAATCAGTTGCATTTCACCTGGGCGGCGAAATGCAACTGATCTGACGTTTGCTCCAGGAGTTGCGGAGCGAGACGAAAGCAGCTTGGTATGGCAAGCCAAGTGTCTCATTTTTCCTGTTAATGAGACACATGGCTTGCCATATTAGTCGAGGGCCCTCTAGCACCTGAAAATGGTGGTGTTCAATATTGTCCATGTCAGAATGAATGAACTTGTCCATTCTCAGCCAAATATTGGATTATACATTTGTAGACTGCGACCAGCGAGGTGCTCCACAGAACAACACAGGAAGTCCTCCCTCCCTGTGGCTATCAAGCTTTTCAACTCCTCCCCTTTCTGCGCATATGACAATGAAAAAGAATCCTGTACTAGAATAAACTCTTTAATGTTTCTGTCTGCATATGTTTAAAACTTAACAGAGAATATAAAAATGCCAACATTGTTATCTTTATATCTTGTGATTCTTGTGTATGTTCCTTTGTACTGAAAATCTTGCACAACAATTTCCTGCTGGATCAATAAAGTTCTGTCTTATCGTATCTTAGCTTGTAAACATGGGAGGAAAAAAAACAAATATGTTGCTTCGCTGTATAAGAGCAGGCATGCTAATTTATGCAAAAAACTGCGACTTATACAACGAAAAATACAGTAGCTGAAGAAAATCTGAGCGGACGTTCAAACTCCACACATAAAGACCCAGGTCCAATCCAGGAATTGAACCAAGGACCTTCTCGCTGTGAGGCAACAGCGCTAACCACCGACTCACCGTGCTGTCAGGGCTTTATTGTCGCAACCCTCCACTTCATCCGCTGACACAATGATTCCCAGCTCCTGTGTCTTCACCCCCTCCCTTGTGGCTGACAGAAACTTCCACAGTAATCCTTTCGTTTTATAAATTAGCAAAGTGAAGCCAACATCCCGTACAGAATGCAGACGTGAGCTGCATGAACATCTGCAGCAGCAAAGTTTACTGCAGGAAGCCTCTCCAAGGTAAACATTACACTTGTTAACAGCTTTCATGACATAATGACACATATATGCGTTCATTGTTTCAGGGTCTGGTTACAAGAGGCATAAAAAAATGTACCAATTTTAAAACAACTTGCATTTTTTATTTTATCTATAGTGTTTTAATTATAACCATAAGTATAGAAGAACTTCAGCATGTTTATCGTTTGTGTCGAGTAAAAGGTGAAAAATCTAATTGAATGCACTAAAATGTATTGGCTTGATACGAGACATGAATAAATGTGTTGTTCTACGATAATGAAACAGAAAACTGCTGCGGCTGGTTCAAAAGCTCCAGCTTTGATTGGAACACAAAGATTAATAGTTTGTCAGAGGTTTATGTATGATTTTGAATAAACTTGTTGGTGCCCTTAAAGAAATACATTTTGGGCAGAAATTAACTGAACGTTTCATTAAAGCAGCAGAATAGACGAACGTATAAAGGACAGAACAAACGTGGTGGCTTTAAATCAATCATTTAAAAGTAACATTTGCTGAGAGCTGACAGAAAACAAGCAATTGAGCAAAATAATTACGCCCCAGATAAAAGGTGCATTTCATAAAAGAGATAATAATATAGGAGTAAATGAAAATATAAACAATTTTCTAAATCTAAAATACAGAACAAATGACTAAATGTTGTTGAACATGGTTAAAGAACATGCACATGATGCTACTTTAAAGGTTCCACACATCATCTTGGATCTTTTTATAGTTTATTCTGGTTCTACTTGTAACATGATGTTGGATTTAATGACCCGAGTTAGCAGACTGATGAAGACAAACTCAAAGATGAAATGGTAAATTATTTTATTTACAATGTGCTCCAATAAATCAAATCAAATCAATAAAATAATAAAGTAATGGAAAGGGGAATAATTTATGTATTGTATTCTATTAATCCCCAATGTAGAAATTCATTCTCTGCATTTTTCCCCATCACACATGTGAAGCAGTGAGCTGCCATCTAGGGCGCCCTGGGGGTTTAACCGCCTTGCTCATGGGCCATGGTGGAAGCAGGTGTGGGTGTTTCACCTTTTTCACCCACATTTTGATGATGTAAGTCCCGGAGTTGACCAGCGATCCTCCGACCACCCTCTCTGCCCAATGGACAGTTTTCATGGTACTTGATGGCTGGAAGTTGTTTGTTGCTCATCGTCTTACTTTTGGTTGTTTGCAGGTTGCGTTGGAGACGGGGGAGAAACGAGGTCCTAGGATTCCAAGGGGAGATGAAGACGTGATCCAGACAGGTGAGTAACGTTGGAGAGAGTGACAGGTTGAAGGTGCTCATTGGTCCAGATGGATGTTTGGCGCTTAATGATGACAGGGCGAGATCACAAGGAGCGAGGAGGTTTCAGGAGACATGGAAGTGCAGGACTTGAAGGACACAAGAACAATTTTAAAGGTTCACAACTCGTTCACAGGAAAAAAGGGTTTTGGCTGTCACTTAAGTTACCGAGGTGTCATAATGTTCCAGCGGCGGATGAACGGCTGCCAGGAGTTCAAGTGCACAGCAGAGAAGTCATCAGGATCAGGTGCAGGTGTGGAAGGGTGGATGATTGAATGATTATCAGCTGGGAAAGTGCTTATGGCTGAAAACCAAAGAATCCTACAACGTTTCCTCACACAGGTTTGAAAACACTGTCAAATATTTTTTTTTTTGCTTAACACTTGAAAGCCTGTTCCAATTTTGAGCTGTTCTTTGGGTCTAAAAACGTTAAAACTGTTTGCAAAGCTCAAATCCTCGTTAGCATTTCATCCTAAAAGAAACAAGTAGAAGAAACTCACGGCTTTTATATTTAGCTTTGTGAAAAAGATCAAATTGTGCACGTTATGGTTGCAGCTCTGGAGCAACTTAGTTTCAGAATCTTCTCGAAAATCTTTTGGTTCAGTTGCAGTTTGCCTAGTTTTCCTGTTGCTCTGACATCAAACTCTTCTCGTGTTCTACTTTCATATTTCTGATTTGTTTTTCCAAATATTCCAACCGATGGCTCCAGGCCGTACAGATAAATTAGCCTTTGGTATCTTGTCTTGCCTTAAATTCTTACTTCCAAAGTCATTTTAATTTATTTAAATCCACACATTGAAGAGATCAATGGAAGAACAGGCTGATGACTTGAGGGATATCATTTCATAAATTTACTTCAATGCCAGAATACAAGACATTTTATGTTTATAAGGAAAGGGTGACAAACAGACTAATCCAAAATCTGGCAACTTTGCAATGATGACAGCTTAGAAGTGAATTGATTTTCTGCCTCCGAGTTAAAAAAAGAGCATGTAGCGTTATGTAACCGTAACCAACATAACCATTCCTTTTTATAGGGACAGTTAATCAAGAAATATATTCTTGATCCAATTTTCAGAATTCACTCAAAGACCTAAACTTTGTAAAAATTATATTTTTTTTTTCTGGCGTGGTTTTCAGCAGCGTACTGTACGAGCTTTGAGTTAAGTGATGTTGCTCACTGTGGATATTGGAAACCATCCAGGGCTGTAAATGAACCGAAAGGAGGAGAAAAACAACTATGGAGGGCTATAAGTGGGTCAAGTTTAGCCTGCTGGGGAGGCGTCCAGCAAGATTCCACATGTGGATATGGAGCTGGTGGGGGATTCTTCTTACAGGCGAGGGTTAACCCTGCAGCACTCGCCACAATGAAAACCACATGTGGCCCGGGGAGAACGTTCACTCCTGAAACCAGATGTGCTCCAGCTCAGGTGTCACTCAGTCTGTGATCTCTTTCCCCATCTGCCTGACTCACAGTCAAGCGTTCGCTCCAATACAACTTATTCCAGCTGAGTGAACTGTCAGTCTGCTTCACAGCCAGAACCACAGACAGCATCCCCACACGCTCAGTGTGTTTTCTGTCTAACAAAGATGCAGATAGAATCAAGCTAGATTTAATGTTTCCTAATGCTCATTCCAGTTTATGTTTCTGTGTGTAACATTCTGATATGAACATGTTACTGGACTGATTTATTGGTTTGTTCTCATTGTCACTGTTGAGCCACTTAAAGCAGTTTGAGAGAAATGTGTGAACTTTACAACTATGTGCTCTGACTCAGTTTGGTTAAACACTAACATTATTTGTGCACATTCCTTTGTCTGAAAATAACTTTTAGCACAGTTGACTCACAGCAACAAGATCCTGGGTTCAGTCCCCGGGTTGGAGCTCGGGTTTTTCTGTGTGGAGTTTGTATGTTCTCCTCGTGTTTGTGTGGGTTTTCCCCGGGTACTCCCGTCTCCCCCCACCGTCATAAACATGCATGTTAGGCTGCCTTCATCTTGAAAAAGAGATTTGTGATCTCAGTGGGATTTGCCTAGTTAAAGAGAGGTTAATAATAATAATAATAATAATAATAATAATAATAATCTGTAGTCTGATAATTAAATTCAAAAATACTTTATTAATCCTAAAAGGAAATTAACTGCTGATGTAGCTCATCGTCCTGGTTTTGTTAAGAGTTGTTCTAGACGCTCATGGCTGTGGGCAGGAAGGATCTCTTGTAGCTGTTCATCTTGGAGCAGATCTGAAGAAACTGACTGCAGATGTTGAGCGGTCTACTTGGACTTGGCAAGTTTCTCAGTCTTCTTGGGCAGCAGGCCCACCTGAATCTTGGGCAGGACTCCTCCCTGAGCCATGGTCTCTCCTCCCAGCAGCTTGTTGAGCTTCTCGTCATTGATCCTGGGCTTGTAGTCACGAGCTGTGTTTCCCACTAATTCCAGGATCTCAGCAGTCTGGTACTCAAGCACCTCCGCCAGGTAGATGGGGATGCATCCACGGGACCTCCTTTTTAACTCATTTGTGATTTGGGGATGTAGCTGAGGTATTATTTGAGCTTTAGAGGTGTTAATCTTCTGCTCCCAGTTGCAAAACAAAAACACCTTGTTGCCATGGTTACCATAAACTGCACTTCACAACTCCAGTTGTCAACCCAACATCATTTTGTTCTTTTCTTTTCAGTCTCTACAACAAATAGACTGCAAGACACAACAAGTGTTGATTTGATTAAACAAATTTTAAAACAATTTTATTTAAAAAATGGGTATAGATTTGTTTAAAGATTACATTTTTTTTTTATTATAAAGAACACACTTTTTGTAGTTGTAGAAACAGTAACAAGTGTAATGGTGTGGGTTTGATTCATCAAGATCCAAAAATGGAGAGGAAAAGGTTGAATGTAAAAATGTATTTAACTTGGTTGAATCTAAACCACAAAGGCCGGTGAAGCAAACCAACCAGACAGCCCATGAACCGGACTTCCATACCATGAGTTTTTACCCACTCAGAGGGTTGATTAGAGAGTCAATGCAGCTGGGATGATTACAGATGGATGACAAATGTGTTTGACAAGGCAAACAGGGGAGATCAGGGCGGCTGGAACAAAAGAACACCAAACCTTAAAATGCAAGGCTGAAACCAGAAACAAAAAACAGCCAACTAAGAATATCTAAAAAACCTGAAATAACTCCTACAGAAATAAATACACAAACACTGATGTTTGAAAGAACACCAAAACCTTGACAAAGATACTCAAGGCAATGTGAGTGGATGAATCATGGACCTGCTTTGACCTGATAGAAAAAGCTTTCAGAAAGTAACAGAATGAAAAACACCAGAACAAACAGACAAATCATACACCAAAGACTTTCCTTTTTACAACCTACCTTTCAAACTATGCACGTTGTCCCTTGAAGTTGAACGCAAACTTGAAAGTCACGTTTTTTTGTAGTTTCCAATTTTGACTTTAGTGGCCTTTTCAGCATACCAACAAATTCACGTGCGTGGCCGTCAGTGATCAGGCTCAGTCTGAGGTTTGTCCTAAGAATAATGGTGCAACAGTCCACAGGTGAAGCTGAAACCAGTCAAACTCCTCAGGATTGGGTTGAACCAGTGAGTCCATTAACACAAAATACACTTGTTCATATCAAATCAAATAGAAGATGGAAATACAAGTAGCTTCGAGATTGTTCTTTTTAAGAAATTAAAACCTGATTAAATGTTTGTAAGCTCAGTCATAGAGGTAAAAAAATCACAAAATAAAAGTTAAGTCATCTGAACAGTTTCTTTTTGGGAGAAACGTTTCGTCTTCATCTGAAAGACTTAGTCAGTCTGAGGCCTGCCACCAAGAACTGTCTTATAAATAGCACCTCCTGGATGTGTTTCAATCCAGCCCACTGTAGAATTCCCAGAAACTGGCTGTGCACATGCAAAATTATATATATATATATATATATATATATATATATATATATATATATATGACTGTCAGAAACCAGGGTTTTTGGATTCAAAATAGCCAGACAGAGGAGTGCAAAAACTATAACAGTTTTTATTAACTAGTCTGCTGGTTGCTGGGGTCAGGGTCCAAGGCAGGAGTCCAAACTTCTCAGTCTGAATGTGGCAGGTGAAAGCCAGAGGCGTGGTCCAATGGTCGTAGCAGGGATCAAGCACGTAGAGGCAGAGAAACAAGAACAGGGCCGAGTCGTGATCCAAAAGAGTGGTCAAGAGTCGTTACCGTGGTCAGATATGCAGACAAATCCAGAGAGGGGCAAGGCGAGGAGTCAAAAAACAGGCGAGAGTTCAAAGCAAAAGACAAAACTATGGAACAGGATACTATGATTGAAGGCTTCACCATCAGGGACCATGGGAGGTTTAATAATTCAGCCCGGTGGAGAGGGAGAATGGAGTTTATAAAGGGTGCAGAGCAGGTGAACTAGATGAGCTGAACAGGTGAGTGTAATCAGGGCTGATGAGCTGAAAGTGCAGAAGGGGGTGTGGCTAATGACAGAAGAAAAACAGAATGACAGAGAGGAGCAGAAACATGACATGATGGGGGGGTCAGCGGGGGCCGCTGATCATGACAATGGTTTATTTTGGACAGATTGTCCCTTTTTTGCCCGTGTAAAGCCACTTTCTGGAATTCCACAGCGAGCTGGCTTGAAACATTTCAAAGAGGTGCTGTTTATAAGACAGTTTTGGATAGCAGGCCTTCGACAGATGAAGTCTTTATGATGAAAGACGAAACATTTCTCCTAAAAAGAAATGGACATGATTTAACGTTTTTTTTGGTGAGGAAACCTGATAGTTCTTTTTTTTTTTTCTTGTGTGCAATACTCTAATACATACTTTGTAAAAAAAAAAAATGCTGCTGTCAAGATTTTCAATGCAAATAAAAGGCATCACAAACTTTACACCAGTGTTGGGTATTCTTACTTGCAATACCACACCAATAACATTTTTTTTTTTTGCCTCATACATGCATAAGTTGTCAAAACTAACGTATAATAAAAGTACGTTCAACTAAAAAAGCATGTGAATGTGCTCCAGTGTCAGTTGCACAAAGCAGAAAGTAAAAGGTCAGGAACACAGAGTTCAGCAGAGTACACGAGGGAACGAGGTTAACTATAATGGCAGGTCAGTTCTGATAAAAGTGAAAGACACAAATGATACAGCAGATCTGTAATGGCCTGGAGCTGACCGGTGACTAATCATCAAAAGGAATATCCAGCAGCAAAGTATGAAGGATTATTGCAGCGTGGGCCGGGGTCATTAGTCTGGTAATTTGACTACTTGATGGATATGGAGCATGTTTATTACCTGAGCTCCTGCAAACCTGGAAATGTTATGTCACTGCTGACCAAACAGCTCTGTCTTCTCCCCCACCTCGAGGGTTGTTTAATGGTCTCTGAGGGTGTTTATTTCATTGCCCTCAGCTCCTAAAATTCTTTTAAATCATACAGCAAACAATAAAGTCACTGGTGTGGGAATCTATCGTCGCATTATTCATTAGTTTGTTTGTGTCATTAACCAGTTTTATTCATGCTCATCGGATTTTACAAACATAAAAACTCAAACTGAAGAGGGTTTTTCACTAATCTATGATATTTGTGGAAGTGTTTTTCATTTGTGCCAAACCCAAAAATCTGCTGTGGCATCACTAACCATGGTACAACTGAAGCTAGAATAAAATTACGAGTTGAAAAAGTGACATATTTGTATATTTCATTTTGGGGAAAAAGCAAAGAAATGCTCTCATGAGTTGCAACATTTTATCCTAATGGGTTATTAGCATATATTGGTTGAAGGTCTATTTGTTAAACGCAAAACATTTTTTAATTATTATGTTTTATCACATTATAACTTGATTAAAGAAAAGGATATAAATACAAAACAATCATTTGAAGTTGTTGTTTTTTGGGTACTTTTTCAATACTAAATCCTCCAACACAGCGTCGTAGTAAATATTAGGAACAATTAAAAAATACGCATGGAACAAGATTTATTCAAGGCATTTCTTATTTTTCAACACATGTGTAGCCTTTATCAAAGGACGGATCATAAAATGTAATTTAAAATGACACGTAGTTTGATTTATTTCTAGGTCAACAAGCAGGTTTGATAAATCCTGCGGATAAAAAAAGGGACTCCTTAGAACAAACCACACGCAGTAAAATAACATTGACAAAATGTCTTGGGTTATTAAAAAGATTTACTGTGCAACACAACACCAAGACATGCTGAAACAAAATTTCCCCTTGCAAATCTTAAATGTGATTCAGGATAAAGCATTTCATCACCGTGCAGTGTGGCTTTGAATCCACACATTGTTCTTCAGCCAGGTTGTTTCAACATGGGAACACAGCAACATCTAATCAGCTCTTAGAGGCAGCAAAAACTCTCCTTCCTTCTCAAGTCTTCATCTTTTCTGATATTTCTGTCTATCCTTCTTCAAGCACACTGCTGTTCTCTGTAAGCCTTTTCTCTGACAGCAAACCGTGCAGAAATTTACTTTAAGACAGCAAGTGCGTCAGAGGAACATGTGTGCTGAATGTGTGAGGATGTCCTATCACAAATTATGTCTGAGGCAGGTTAGAACAGTGCTCAGATATGACATATTTTGGCTGAACTCCAATCACACACATACCAAACAGACAGATCTCTGCACCTCCCTTCTTGGCTCCAAACACAACCTCAATTACTCCCTGATGCTTGGTTTTTAGTTCTTACAATCCACCCATCCAATAACTCTTCCTGGGGAGGAAAAACTTGTAAACAACTGCAAAATGTTCGTCCTGATGCAAACTGTTGGCTCGAGTTTTACGGGCATGCCATTCCATGCACAGTCACGTTCATCGTATGCGTTGTGGCAAGATTACAAATAAAAGATTAACTTGTAAATAAATGCATTGGATACTTTTGGTTCAGGGCTGTTTTGTTGTTTGCGGTTGGTCTGTTTACTTCTTAAGAACAGTTTCTACCCTGAAGCTGTATATTTATAAATCCCTAACCAGAAAAATCACTGTAATGCCACTTTAATTGGACATTTGACACTTTATCTGCGCTGCTGATTTCTTACCCATAAGCTACTATATTCATACTCATTGCTAACAACAGACTCACGTTCAGGTTGCACCTTATTATATTGCATATTATTGTTTAGCATATATCTTAGATCTTTAGATCTTCCTGCATGCTCTCGACGAGGACGGACACATTTCCCTCATTTTCTGCCTCGCTCCTGCTTTATTCTTTGTCCTGTGATTCCTTTTGGATCCTCTCGCTACATATCCTCCAAATTGTAAATTATGGATCTGGTCAGCTGGTCTATCAACACGATTGATAAAATGTTCTCAACGAGAAGACAGGGTGAGCCCTCTTGCCTGGACGAGACACTTGCAGCAGGACCTCCAATGGATTCCTGGGAGCAGTGGAAGATTGTGTGTCTGGCAGTATTGTCAGTCAAGGATGTAGAAGACGTGTACATAATTGGATTTATGATAAACAGGAATTCAGCTTTTTGGAGTTGGTGGTCACCTGG